CAACAACAACGAAAGCCCTCTTTTTGTCTTTCATTTAAGTCATATAAGTGGAGCTAAGCTCTCAGTATCTTTGATATTACGAACAGTGTGATGAGTATTTAAAAAAACCTTAATGACGGGCTTGGACCTTACACACACACACAGACACACACACACACACACACACACACACACACACACACACACACACACACACACACACACACACACACACACACACACACACACACAACACCACACACACTCATACACACACACACATCGTCTCTCTCCTCTCTTTTCAAAGGAATGGGACCAATGCCATGGACCATTAACTCCGAGATCCACCCCCTCTGGGCTCGCTCCACTGGCAACTCCCTGTCAGCGGCGACCAACTGGATCAGCAACCTGCTCGTCTCCATGACCTTCCTCACACTGACGGAGACCATTACCAAATATGGTCAGTGCAATTTCATGTACATCGTTTTTTTTTAAATATAAAAAGGTTTCTGTCTTCTGTCTCATCGGCGTCATTTCTTCGAATTTTTTTCTGGTGTTCGTTATTAAGTATTTTTAGTCGCGTTTTTTTCTGTGGTCGTCGTCGTCGTTGTTTTTGTTGTTATTGTTGTTCTTTTTGTTGTTGTCGTTGTTGTTGTTGTTGTTGTTGTTGCTGTTGTTGTTGATTTGATTGTTGTTGTTTTTGTTATTTAATCACGTTCGAAGGACGCTGAAGTACAAAAAGTTTTTGATAAAACTGAGCGATACACCGGAAAAGTACTACAGGAGCACTTTAGAAGGAAAAGGTTGGGCTTTTGTTCATGAACCGGGTGCGTGGCTACTAAATAAGTAAGTTGATGGGGTTGACGAATTAACAACACTGTTTTAAAGTTATTTACGAGACAGGACCACCGAATTCAACGTTCGTCTCCGGTAGGACCGAGCCAAATGGGCTGACAGCCTTAAAATGGGTTGAAAGACTTAAAAATTCCACAAAACGACTTAATTTCAAAGATGCCCAGTCAGGGATTCTAACCAGGGCCTTAGACCTGTGGATTATAAAATGCATAGGACTTGCTGTTGAGTGAAAGTTTGCACTATTATAAATGCTATATTTTTAATATGTATTCTTTAAAAAAAAATTTGATCTATGCTCTCCTCCCCCCTCCACCCCCACCCCACCAACCCTCTCCAGGCACCTACTGGATGTTCGTGGGTATCACGTTATTGGGCTTGCTGTTTTTCGCCATTTTCCTTCCTGAAACAAAAGGGAAGAGACTGGAAGAGGTGGAGCAGCTCTTCGCTTCCGACTGGTGCTCGTGTTGTGGCTCTAGTAATGTCAAAGCCAACGATACGAGGTCAGCCCACTGCGTCAAAGGAACAGAGATCATTGTCAAGGTCGCCGATGTGACCCCTAAACAGTCCATCAATGAGTCGGACAAAAACAGTTGACGGCCAATTTTCAAGCAATCTCTCCAGTCTACATAAACTACATCAGCATCAAAAGTTTCTGTTGAAAGTTAATCCATTATTCAGAATGTACCAAGAAATAACAATAATATGTGACAAGCTACTTTGGTCAAAGATAGTACATAACAAGATGGGCCACTTCTCTCTTTGAGCCAATTAAAAAAGTGTCCTCAAAATTTGGTGGCGCCCTCTTCACAAAGCGCACTCTTTGCGAACAGAGTTACCCTACTTGAGTGTTAAAAAATCAAAGTGAAACTAGCAAGTTTTGGGATAAATTTCGAAAGAAGGCTTTTTTTAAATGGTTACGCTGACAAAAAACCTCTTCCGGAGGAAAGGGTGATGGTTTTCTTCGTTTAATTTGACTTTAGAAGGAAAGGCGAGAGGTCATTAAAATTTAAAAAACCTAAAACTCCGCACTGAACGTACCCGAACTGCTGATGAACAGCAGTCGATCTGCGCACGCAAAGAGGTGCTATTCCTATTCTTCTTCTGGAAAAACGAAAGAGAGCTTCAAAACAGACTGCAGCGCCATCTGAAGCAAAGAGCATACTTCCTGCGGACGCTTTTTTTGGCTGAGTGGCCCATCTTGTTATTTACTATCTTTGCTTTGGTGCTATGAATGTCAAAAGCATTGTGTTGTTTTGTACTTAAAATAGAGGCTATGCATGTTTGCATTTGCAAGTGTAGCAACGTCAGAGTAAAAGTTAAGAGTGACTGCATGTTCATGTCTTCGGATCTGTGTGTTAGCCTGTTCATACATATGTGTATGTGTGTGTGTGTGTGTGTGTGTGTGTGTGTGTGTGTGTGTGTGTGTGTGTGTGTGTGTGTGTGTGAGTATGTATGTATGTATGTATGTATGTATGTATGTATGTATGTATGTATGTATGTA